AAAAAAAAAAAAAAAAAAAAGTTAAAAATAGACTTAGCTTATGACTCAGCAGTTCTACTTACAGATATCTACCCAGAGGAAATGGAAACATACATCCACACAAAGACGTACATGCATGTTCAAAGCAGCATTATTAACAATAACCAAAAGGTAAAAACAACCCAAATGTCCATGGATCTCCCCCTACCACCCCTTGCGAAAATTCACATTCACCTGAAACCTGTTAATATGATCTTATTTGGAAAGACATAGTCATCCTTCGGTATCTGTAGGTGATTTGTTCCAGGGCCGCTAACCAATACCAAAATCCTTGGATGCTCAAGTCCCTTACAGAAAATGCATAGTATTTGCATATAACTTATGCACATCCTTCTATATATTTGAAATAATCCCTAGATTACTTATGTTACTCAATACAATGTAAATGATACGTAAACACTTGTTATAATGTACTGTTTAGGGAATCAGGACAAGAAAAAAGTATGTACATGTTCAGTACAGATGCAACCATTATAGATCTAACTATATTTTCTTTTCTTTTCTTTTTTTCTTTTTTGAGACAAGAATCTAGATCTGTCGCCCAGGCTGTAGTGCAGTGGTGCTATCTTGGCTTACTGCCACCTCTGCCTCCTGGGTTTAAGTGATTCTCCTGCCTCAGCCTCCCTAGCAGCTGGGACTACAGGAGCATGCCACCACGCCCGGCTAATTTTTGTATTTGTAGTAGAGATGGGGTTTCACTATGTTGGTTAGGTTGGTCTTGAACTCCTGACCTTAGGTGGTCCAGCCACCTTGGCCTCCCAAAGTGCTGAGATTACAGGCGTGAGCCACTGCACCCGGCCCCTAACTATACTTTCAATCAGAGGTGGGTTAAATCCACAGATTTGGAACCCATGGATATGGAGGGCCTACTGAGGGTCTTTACAGATACAATTAAGTTAAAAGGAGGTTGCATAGGATCAGGGTGGACTCTACATCCAGCATAACTGGTGTCCTTATAAGAAGAAATAAATTTGTGAATAGAGATGTGGACAGACTAGGAAGGAGACCATGTAAAGATGAAAGTAGAAATTAGAGTGATGTGTCTACAAGCCAAGGAACACCAAGGATTGCCTCCAGCCACCAGAAGCTGGAAGAAACAAAGAGGAGAACCAGAGAGTGTGCCACCACTCCAGTTGACTTGATTACAACTTCTGGCCTTCAGAGAATAAATTGGAGAATAAATTGCTGTTGTTATGAGCCACTTAGTTTGTGGTGATTGTTATGGCAGCCCTAGGAAACTAATAGTTTCCTAATACTAATACTAATAGTATTGAACTAACACTAATACTGGTGAATGGATAAACAAAATATGATAAATCCACATAATGGAACTATTCAGCAATAGAAAGAAATGAAGTTCTGAGACATGCTACAATGTAGATGAACCTCACAAACATTATGCCAAGTGGAGGAAAAAAAACCACAAAAGAACACATAATGTATGACTCACTTATGTGATATGTCCAGAAGAGGCAAATCTAAGGAGACAGAAAGTGATTACCTAGGGCTGCGATGAAAATGAGGAGTGACCGTAAATGGGAATGAGGTGTCTCTTAAGGGTGACAGAAATGTTCTAAAATTAGATTGCAATGATGGTTATACAACTCTGCACATATACTAAAATTCATTGAATTATACACTGAAAATGAGTGAATTTTATAATATATGAATTATATCTCAATAAAGCTGTTTATGAAACATTGGGGTAAGCCGGGCATGGTGGCTCATGTCTGTAATCCCAGCACTTTGGGAGGCCAAGGCAAGTGGATCACCTGAGGTTGGGAGTTCAAGACCAGCCTGACCAACATGGAGAAAACT